GGCGGGGCGTCGAATATCAGCACGAGAGCCACAATCACTTTCAGCGTACCGGATCATGACCGCCAAATCCTGAATCAACAGGCCAAGGTCGGCTGCAAGTTGGTCGCGTGCGGCTTCAGCCATCTCCACACCCTTGAGTGCCTGCCAACACAGTGCCAGCCGGCGCAACCGGTTCATCGGGGGGCGATGGGCATGTAGACAGAACCAAGCGACTAAAGGCGTCGGCAAAAGCCCGAAGCTCACCTTGATGTATTCCTCGACACTTGGATTTTGAATGTTAGACGCCGAAAGCAAGGCCTCATTGTGTTGATCGAAGGTGTTGGTCAAGGCTTGAATGTCACTTCTGAGCTCCGACATGAGGCCATTGAGCAAATCATCGCGAATGGCTTTGAGACGCGGCAGAACATCCCGTTGCAGGGCGCTGCCACGGAGTCGAAGAAGCTGGTTGTTGCTGATGAGCAAAGCGGGAACACGCTGTGCATCGCGAATCCAAAGTTCTAGGTCCTGGAACACGGGGAAGAGGCGATCGCGGCGTTGAAGCAGAGCCCGCAGCTTTGGCTCGTCCCAGTCATGGACGAAAACGGCCAGGTCGTTCAGCCAGGTGACTTCAGCCAGCTGCCCCAAAAGGTTGCTGTAACCCGTGAGAACGGTATCCGCTAGCAGCGCGTCCATGCGCTCAAGGGTTGTAGAATGAAGGAACAGGTGCTGTAAAGTTTCGTCGTTGACGGGGCGAGCATTGGTAGGCTGCTCGAGGCGATCGAGAACAAAGCCCAAGAGCCGGTCCGTATCGCCAGGCAGACGGACCCATTCGGGTTCCAGGAGCAACTTCACAAAGTGACAGGCCGCACGAGGCAAATCTTTCAAGAAATGCAAGAGTTCGTCGTAGGAAGGCACGGTCTGCAGTCCCTCCGTCTCGGAGATGGCCAGCCCCAAACAAAAGACGCCCACGGTACGACAGCTACGGCGCGATTTCGTGCATGCTTCTGCGACGGCCTCTGGAGGTGGATGATGGAGCGTTCGCTGTTGTGAGGGTGTGTGGTTCACAACAGCGTTTTGGGGAGAGGCGACATCGCGAAATGGCGCTGCGTCTACGGTAGTAAGTTCGGCATCTGGGGCAGGAGTGAGCTGAGACATGGCATCAATGCTTGTGTTAGCAGGGATGGTTGAGGGCCGGGCCTTTTGTCCAGTTGCCTCAGTAATGAGGTTGATGAGCTCTGCTGTGATGGCGTGCGTCAGCATGGCTAGCAAGCGCTGTTTGAGGCGTTGCAGGATGAGGTGTTCAAGAAAAGGAGCGCGCTCAAGCTGTACTGCAGCTGCGCTGACGTGTTGTTGCTGCACTGAGCGATATTCACTCAGGCCCGAGAGGGCGAGATGTGCGGGGGGGTTGTTGAGACGGTCGAGAGCCTCGGTGTGTGAATCCTTGAGCTTTTGGCGGGTGTGGCTCAACATGCGGTTAATGGTGCGGCGGACCTCAAGGACGGCTTGCATCCAGCCTGTAAACGCCCGAGAGACGGTTGTTTTGAGCTCGAGGACAGTATAACTGCATTCGGGTTCGATGCCAAACACGCTGGTGTCCCGGAGCGTATCGATGGCTTGAACTGCAATTTGTAGACCCGCCGCAGTAGCGGGATGACAGATGAAGGCATGCTGATGTATGGCCTGCCTAGCTCGACTGAGTTTCTTAAGATGGTGATGGCGCTTCCACCCTAAGTAACGCCAGGCAGAGAAGCGGATGGTGTTGCAAAACCGGTGTTGAGGTCGAGGGGCCCACGACCAGCGATCAGCCAACTTGATGGAGCAGGGCGAGCGAGGGTACGTCAAAGGGACGGCGACCGTAAGCACCTTGCATGGCCTTCCAAAGCTGAAAAGTACGAAAGAGGGGCAGCTGACGAAGCTGACGGAAGACGGTACGGTGCTTGAGCCAAATGTGTAAAGGTTGCATCTCGGACGTGCCGTTCCATTCATAGAGTGTTACGCCTGTCACAGACCGGGGACGGACGGCGGATGAGAAAGGGGCCATGAAGTTGACAGCTACCCAGTGGGAGCGGCGCGTCAAGAAAAAGAAATGCATAAACATCAACATGGGGATCATGCAAGGGCTACAACAACGTGATGAAGAAAGCAGCGGCAAGTTGGGGTGGCGAGAGCATACTGGTGGTTGACAAGACGGCATGGCGTTGGGACTGCAGGTCGCGCTTGGCCACGGGTTGGAGGGCAAAGGGACCGTCGATGGCTGATTCGGGCCCTGGGTTGCAGTAGATGAAAAGCATTTCGTTGTTTGCGCGCGCTTGAGCCAGCAGAGCGAGAGCTGCATCAAGAGAAGCCGGGACGACTTCACTCGAGGCCATGTCTGAGGGGCGGCGATCGGAAGAGTTGGGCATCTGAGTGTGGGGTCGTGAGGGTCGTCGCGTGGGAGCTGAGCGAGCTCCTTGAGTGCGCAAGGTCGCAGAGAGGGGCGCAGTGGTGGTTGGCGTGTCGAAGAGCTGGCGAAGACGCCCAGCAGCAGTTGCCGTTGGTGCACGGCGCACGGAGGCGAGGCGCGTGGAGAGGGAAGAGGCGGCTGGAGCTGCGGTACTGACGCGGCGGCGGGTGCCCTGGGGATCGGCACCACGCGCGGTGGCGCTATGACGCTGGGTGGCAGCGGACGTGACGGTTCGGGGACCACGGCTCATGAGAGTGCCGGCCCCCAAAGATGACTTGGCAGGGCGCGTGAGCTTGGAGAGCTTGGCACCAGGAGTGGCTTCGGGGCGCTCGGTGGGAAATAGATGCCAGAAGGCGGCTGTCGTTTGTTGGCTGAGGGCAACGGCCTCGCGTGGTTGTTGCAGAAGCGTTTGGAGACGCACGACGTAGTGGCGAAGCATGGGCTGCCCCTGCATTAGTGATTGGGCCCGTTCTAGTGTGATCAGGGCCAGCTGTTGGGCCAGGGCTGCCGCTTGTGCTTCGGCAGGTTGCTGGAGGTAGCTGGCAAGGGCCTGACAAAGGGCTTGTCCCTCTTCCTGTTGCTCAACATCAACGGCTGCACCACCAAGGCTCATCCATTGGAGGCGCGGGACTGCCTTTGCAGCCGGGGCCGATGCCGCGCCATCTTTGTTCGAACGGGGCCCCATCGAAGCCGTCGGCCCTGAGGCCTGCGCCATGCTGTGCGAGCTGCGGGCAAGCCGTAAGAACGGCCGCTTAAATACACCTGCTGCCTACAAGGAGCTGAACATCGAAGTAACGTCAAAACCCAACCCCGAGTGTCGGGAGCCCACGCCACAACCCGGCAAGGCTACTGCACGATGCCTACAGAAGGGACTTGCTTCTTCTCGAGCTCTGCAGCAGCAGCAGCAGCAGCAGGGGCGGAAGGAAGCGCAGGGGGGTCCGACCGTTCAAAAGTCAAGAAAAAAAAAGTCCGTAGTTTTCGTTTCTCTCCTTTTTGAGGGACGTTGCGAAGCCCAATTGAACACAACACCTGTTTTTCTTCCTTTTTTTCGGGTTTGTGTGTGTGTGTGTGTGTGTGTGTAAGTGTGTGTGTGTGTGTGTGTGAGTGTGTGTGTGTGTGTGTGTGTGTGTGTGTGTGTGTGTGTGTGTGTGTGTGTGTTGGCACGTCAATACGGCAGCTGGGCTGCAGCACCCTTCAAACGTACAAGCTCTTCCCGATTTTCCCATTGCTGCCTCGTACTGCTTCCTCCTTACACCATCATCTTCTTCCTCTCCCTCCCTCCCTCTTCTCTCTCTCTCCCTCTGTCTCTCTCTCTCCCCGCTTTTCTGCTCTTCTGCAGTTCGTACGACTCACCACACCATACAGTCCTTACTGTATGGCTCAACAATCTACAATAAGTACCGAATTTTCTACTAAAACTTACTATGCAAACATTAACAAATCGAACATAACTCATGATGATACAACAATGACCTTTGTTGCTCGTGCTGCCCAAGTGCTGATGGCCATGACAAACAAAAGGAAGACCACCACCGGCTGCTTGCTTCACCCCCCGAGACCTCTCCGCCTCCCGCCGCTGCCTCCTTCTGCCTCCTCCCCGCCTTGGTTCTCACACGGCTTTGAAACACGCCCTGTTCTGGGGTTGCCCGGGCTGGCTAAAGGTGAGAACCTCTCGACTTGAATGAATGGGATGCGCGATCAGCTGCTGGCTGACCATCCCCCTCTTCCTGCCACTCCCTTTGTCCGCCACCGCCCACCAGTCTCTCTCTCTCTCTCTTGAACTCTCTCTCTCTCTTGAACTCTCTCTCTCTCTTGAACTCTTCTCTCCCTCTCTTGAACTCTTTTGATCTTGACTCTCTCTCTTAAACTCTCGTTTCTCTCTCTCGCAAACTCTCTCTCTCTCTCTCTCTCTCTCTCTCTCTCTCTCTCTCTCTAACGCACACTCCATTCCCCTCCCTTCTTTTTTTTCTCTTCTTTTTTTTTAATTTCTCTCGTGTCGACGCCCCTCCTCTCTCTCTCTCTCTCTCCCTCTCTTTTCTCTGAGCTCCCCTCCTTGTGGCAGCGCATCTCCTCAAAGACGCCTGTACCTGCCCTGATACACCTCTTTTTCTCGCTTGGACTCGACTTCCGCCTCAAGGACCACCACTTGCAGCGTGTGGGAGGTGAGGTTGGTGACCGGAGACGGTGCAAGCCGGGCTTTCAGCAAAGCTCCGTCGTGAGAGACCTGCCTCGACCGAGTCGTGGGGTACCGCAGGGCCGTGCCCGTTTCTCCTTTATGCTGTGCTCCACTTGATACGCTCCCATACAAAAAAAAAAAGCTGCGCACACGCCTGGCTGCTCCTTCTTCCGCCCGGAATCCCTCGAGCAAGGTATGAATGCGCACATGCGCGATGCGGCGCAAAACTCAGACCCCCGGCAGACATTTCCGCTCCTTCTGACCCTTGGAACACTCGCCGAGTGCACTGCCAAGCCCATGCTTTGGCAACATCTTGTCGCTCTGACACCTATTCACGCCTATTCATGCTCTTGCTTTCTTGTTGACTTGGGCACCCAGGCCCCTCCACGACCAGCTGGCACCATGCCTGAGCTCTGGCAACACACGGCCGATTGGTTGTGCAAACTGGGCGCCTTGTCAGGCGAGGACCCCACTTTTCAAAAGGATGCCACCGTATATGATCTCACCGTAGCTCTTCAAGTACGGCGTACCACACCCCCTTGGTTTTTTTTTGTTTTGTTTTTTATTGGGGTTTTTTGTGGTTTTTTTCCTGTGCCTCGCCCACCTGGCTCGTGCAGACTTGCGCACTCGGCCTTGCCCCTCTCTCCTCACCCCCTCCCCTTGAATGCCCGGTCCCGCCTTGCCTTGCATCTCGACCCATTACATAGGATGGCACGGTCTTGTGCGACGCCGCCAATGCCCTAGTACCTGGTTGCATTCCCATTGTCAACCGACATCCTCAACAGCAGTTTCTTCGCATTCAAAACATCCATGCCTTTCTCGGCGCCCTGCGAAACACGTTCAAGATGAAGGAAGCCCACCTCTTCACCGCCGACGGCCTCCATAATGGTGGTGAAATGCCCCAAGTCGTTCAATGTCTGGCCACGTGGGCCAACACCCCTCAAGCCGTCAAACATGGAGTCAAGTTAGTGTTTTGTAACCCTCTTGCCAACGCCACGCCCCTCCCAGCGCTCTGCTGCCATGTGTGCTCACCTTTCGCGGAACCCACTCGCCCTCAGGCTTGGTGAAGCCACAAATACTCCCAACACCGCCCTCGATGCTGATGGCCGCTATGACATGTACAAATCTCTCAAGCAGCTCGTGGAACAAAATCTTTCGCTTCGCGATGCAGGAACCTACACAATGTCCCACAGTCGCCCGAATTCGATGGTCTCCGATCATCAATACTACAGTGAGAAAGTCGGCACCATGGTACGAACAGCTCCCCCCAGCGTGCCCTTGCCCGTCTCTGGCCTCCCCGGCTGCTCGACGCTGCTGGTCCAAGGTCTTTTTCTTTCTCACACTTTTTCCTCTTCTTGTCCCTCTTCTTTTTCCTCTTCTTTTTCCTCTTCTTGTCCCTCTTCTTTTTCCTCTTCTTCTTCTTCTTCTTGTCCCTCTTTGACCATCTGACCATGCTCAAATGCAGAAACAAGTAGACGAGCTCTATTACATGATCATCTACGCAGGCAACACACCCGCTCTCAAATTGGACGAGGCCACCGACGAGAACATTTATGGTGCAGGCGTCACCCGCGACCAGAAGCGCTCCATGGTGCTAGACGAACTGTTCTCCACAGAAAACTCATACATCAAGGTCCTCCAGATGCTGACCGGCACATACTTGCCCAATCTGCGCGAAGCTTTTAGCATCATCGACATCCACCTCATCTTCATGAACATTACCGAGATCATGGATGCCCACAATCGCTTTCTGGCTGACCTTTCGGAACTCATGGCCCGCACCACCGGTCGTATGGCGGGAACCTGCTTACTCAATCACGTCACCAGCTTTCGCATCTATGGCGAGTACATCAGCATGCTTCCAGACGCCATTGACCGCCTCAAGGTCATGCGGAAAAAGGCGCCGTTTCAAGCCGTAGGTCGCTTCGCGAGCCGGTGCCGTGCCGTTGAAACGCTCTGCCATTATCTCTCGCGCCTCATTGCCAGCCATCGATGTACCTCAAACCACGCCATGCCGTATGCTTTGATCATCCTCCTCAGGCATTGCAAGCGGCGCAAAAGGCCAGTGGCCAAATATTTCCGCTCGAAGATCTTCTCCGTGTGCCCATGCAACGCATTCTCAAGTACCCTCTCATGATCAAGGAGCTTCTCAAATCGACTCCATCTGATCACCCTGACCTTGACAAGCTCCGCGTCGCCAACACTGCATTCCAGGACTTGGCTACCTACATCAACGAGTCCAAGCGCGACCGTGACAATCTTCTCAACATTATCCAAGTCTGTGCTGCACCCGGGCTTTCATTGCTTGATCTCGCCTTGCATTGATTTGTGTGCTTGGTTGTGGTGTCCCTTGCTTTCATGGCTCTTGGTTGTCGGCCCGTACAATTTCCCCCCAACCCTTACACATGTGCTCGCTTGTCTCGGCCCACGAACAATTAGAACGTGAAAAAGTACAAAGGCAAGCCCATCAAGGACTTTGGCAAGCTCTCGCGTGATGGCGATCTCTGGGTGATTGACCACGTCATTGGCGACAAGGGCAAGCTTCGGTACGATGCCCCATCATGTGTACATCTCTGTGCTGACATTGTGTCTGCGTGGTGGGTGGACTCCGTGTCCAGCTGATTTTTTCTGTGTGGGGGGTTTCTCGCAGCTACGTCTTTCTCTTTGACTTTGGCATCATAGTATGCAAACACAACAAAGGTTCCTTCAAATTCAAAGCATCGGTGGAATTTCAGCACCGGCAGAGTGTTGAAAGCGTGTCCGACCCTGCCGGCGAAGATGGCTATCCCCATCGCTGGCGTCTGATGGATACCAGCGGCAAGAAGCCTGTCCCCCTGCTAACCTTTGGAAGTTACCACGAAGCCACCAAAATGCGCTGGATGGACATGATTCGGGGCAAGATGCTGGCCGTGGCTACCCCGGCTTCCCCACCACCGCTCCGGGCGCGAATGTCACTGCGCGCGCCCAACGGGGCATCTAGCTCTCCAAAGCCTCGTCGCTCGCTGAGCGAATCGGCAGCCGTGGGCAGTGGCCTGGCGCGCCCCCCCTCCAGCCCGCGCCCTGTTTTGAGCCCACCCATTGTTGGGCCGCGCGTACCTCGCAACTCTGTTGCCGACGATGAAGCCTGGTTCTTACCTGGCGCTGCCAGCCTTTCCGAGTCGGTACGTGTCCAAGACTGGACAGATGGTGCATGCTAAGCAGGCTCGTGCTGATGCTCGTTCTCGCATGACCCTCATGATGGCTTAATGTTTGTTTCTGCTTCATTGGGTGGATGCAGGAGCTCAAGGATCTACCGGACGGTACATTTTTGGTGCGCGAGAGCACCTCCCGACAGGGCTCGTATTCGCTCACTGTTGTTTTTCAAAACGAGGTCAAGCACATCAAGATTTTGCGCGACGGCACACAATATCGTCTGACCGAGCATGCTGAGGGCTTTGACACGGTGCAACAGCTCGTGGCTTTTTTCCAGCGACAGAACCTGGGCACTTATTTCCCAACACTGGACACGCCCTTGGTGATGCCTTATCGAAGCGTCATGATGCAGCGTGCGCTAGACACGGACAGCAGCGACATGTGCGTATTTGCGCCCTGTAGGCATGGGCTGCCTCGCATTGTTCTCTTCTTGGGCCCCGCGTGTTTTCATGAGTTTCCCGTCGAGGTTACCACCAAGCTGGCAGACCTGAACATGCTGACATGGGCTTGGTCTCCTTGTGACAGGTTGTCTGGCATTGGCCGTGCTCGCGCACTATTTTCATACAAGGCGACAGCGGACGATGAGATTAGTTTTGACAAGGGGACCGAACTGGTGCTGCTCAACGTGGTTGAAGAAGATGACGGCTGGTGGCGTGGTCGCCTCCCGGATGGTCAAGTCAGTGCCACAGCTAGATGCTGCTATATGCTGCTATATGCTGCCATGTATGCGAATCGCTCCTGCTGACTCATCACCGATGCGCTTGTATAGACCGGGGTCTTCCCAGCTGCCTATGTGCAGCGCTTATAGGATTTTCATAAAGACTACTCAATAAGCAAGAATTTGCCTCCCGTCTCCAGCCGTTCCTTGACGTTCCACGGGCTCCTTATTAGTTGAGATGTGTGCAGCCCCAAGCTGTTCCTGTCCCTGATCCAGATATGAGGCCTCTGTTGAATATGTCCCTGGTCTCTTTCTTGTTTTCACCGTCTTGTTTCGTTCATGGTTGTCGACCCTCAAACAGTTGACACCTTGTTGCTCTTTTTTTTTGTGTGTGTGTCTTCTTGTGCACCAGAAGAGCCGCTCAGTCTGTTTACTGTGTTGTCCTTTTCCCTTCTCTGGCTTTGCTTTCCTGTAGTCTTCTATTTTTCTTTGCTTTTGTTGTCCTTTTCCTTTTCCAGCAAGAGACTTGATGTACAAGCTGTGTTGTAATTTCACCAGTGGCTCCATGCTGTTGCCTGCGACTATGGAACCACACCCTTCGGCGTGTGACAGAAAGCATAATAATCGGCTCCTTTTTTTATCTTTCTTTCTTTTCTCTTTTACCTGTTGACCGTGTTTTGTTCTCTCGCGCCTTGCTCCCTGTACTCAGAGGTACCATCAATTGACAGCGCCCCCTGTTCTATCGATCCTGACTGGACTGCGAATGTGTCGGCTCGGCTGGCTTGGACACGTTTTCCACAGCCCCATCATCATCCATAGCAAACGCTCTCAAACAAAAGTGTCTGACATTCGTTCACCATTCAACATGTGAGTCTCCTCTGAGACTGAAAGATTCGGGACCGTGCGCTGCTGCTGTGTCTTTTTCGTCTTGCGACGGCAAGCTTGCAACACCGGGGGCGCAGGTCGGTAGCTGGCTCGTTGGCCCTTCGTTCCTTGTGCAGGCAGGCAGGCAGGCAAGGCTGCCCTGGTCCACGGCTGGGAAAGATGGGGTAGCTGATGGTGCAAGGCGTTGGACTCAAAGTCGTCAACACGGGGACGTGGGTGGTCGTGTGCATGTGGTGGAAGCTCGTACCTGTTCATCCCTCTTCATTCCGGGACCTCGCCCTCGTTTGCAAACCACGCAGGATGGCGTCGCAAGTCAAGCGACTGTTGTCGCCAGCCCAGCTGGCAGCGGCGCGCTCATCCGTCTTTGGGCACATTGCGCGTCCTGCAAACGTCCGGTACGGTGTCACCTCAGTTACGTGGTGCTCAGCGGGTGTGGCACACTTTCTCACCCTCGGGGCTGGGCCTCGACTTTGATTGGGCTGGTGCTGGCACTGTTGGTCGCTAGATCCCCTGTCAAGTATTTGCAGGCCAAGCCCAAAGCCGAGGCGGTCATGAACTACTACCCTGACCTGCTTGTCAAGCATGAGAGTTTGTGGCGCCGGTGGTACAACATGGGCATTTACTACGATGAGGCCATGGTTGGTTTTTGCCAGAGCATCATACACTGTGCTTTTGACGGTCGGCTCGCCAATCCCTGATGCCTGGTCACCTGGCCGTCATGCCCATGGCTTGGAAATGCCCGCGTTTATAGGTCTGGCGCACGGACAAGATGGCTTGGAACAAATCTCGTGGACGCTTCCCCGTGAAGAAGGGTTGGTAACCTTGCTACTTGCATAGCATTTGATAAGGCTTTTTGCGCCACGCTCACGCTTTTCTTCCTCTCACTTTTCCCCTTTCTCCTCTAGGTGAGGGCAAGAAGAAGAAGAAGAAATAATAATCTTGAAAAGTGAACTGTAAAGACACATGTGCTGGTCGGTCACTGTCGCCGCGTCTTGCGCGCTCCCACTCGATACGTGTCATTGTCTAAGATTTATAACTGCACCACTCACAGATATGCGTATGCATGTGCCTCCCGGCTCTGCCAGCGCTCTGCGTTATCCGCGGACCCGTCGTAGACTTCCCAACCCGTGGCTAGATTCCGGGCCAATCGAATTTTGATTTTCCAGGCATCATTGATATTTCCCTGGTGCTTGCCTTGTGCCATAACATACGACGACAGGCCCGATCACTCATACCCCATCTGACGGATAACCGGAGAAAAGAAAAGGGGCCCACCAAGTGTCGACCCAACAAGCAGTTGGCGGCATGCCTGCGCTTCCAACGATTGCATGATTCTTCTTCTTAAATTTTTGAAACGAAAGGGAGGGGATGTTAATGCGATCACGCCCAAACAGCCGCGGGCTGAGGGGAGCCGCCGAGTGGAAAAAAAAAGGAAGCAACACCAGAGTTTGGGGAAAGAACATCAGAGGCAGGAAAACAACAACAAGACCTGCGTGGGCAACATGAGGCCCAACGTAGAATTGTGCACGAAATCAGGGACATGGGCAGGCCGATGTACCAGCTACAATACGGACATGCATCGCAACAAGACCGACAAGACTGACTACAAACCACGAGCAACAAAACCCTGCACACCAAAAGGGCGTGGCAAGGCAAGACCTGACTGAGATGTCAGGCCTAGACATGAGGCAGGCACCACCCCGAACGAGGTAGAGTCAAGCACGATGTATTGCGTGGCTGCAGCGCGTCATGGGCCTCTCCTTGCCAATGCTTGCCATCACACAAGACTGACATGCCTTCAGACCACCGCATCAAACACAAACAGGACAAGGGTGCAGGAGCTCGAGGCACCTTATGACACTGTGGAGCGGGGACGACAAATCAAGGTAAGGTGAGTGAACAGTGGACCATTCATTGTTCGGGTTAGCCAGCAACAACCCATGCGGGGGAAAACCACTTTGCTTCAACGCAGGGTGATCAACGAACCCAGAATGTTGTTGATGGGAATGTGGATGAGCTTCACGGCGTAGCCGATGATGCCCATGATGGCAAAGCCAACGAGGGTCGCGGAAGCAATCTTCATGAACTCTGCAAAGTCAAACCACAACCACAGATGAGCCGTGCGTGAGATACAAATGAACACATGAAGGGCTTTGATTTGATCGACTGTGACCATCGCAACCCGAGAAGGCGCATGCAAACTTCACTCACCCTTGGTGTTGGGCTTGTCGCACTTGTTCAAGAACATGCGCGAGTTGCGGTAAAAGTCGTTCAAAGGAGCGACCGAGTCCTTGATGTCATCCATGCTGCAAGTTAAGATCGAGTTTGAGGAGAAGAAAAGTGTAGTGAGCGATCAATGAGCTCAAAATCTCATGGTCAAGGCGTGATCCTGCAGTGCCACGGCTGTGAGCCGATCGCTCTGCGCTGGCTTCCTTTTTCATCATGACTTGTTCTTGTTCTCCCACCCCTGACCCCTTGGTAAGCTGGACGGACAGAAAGGCCCGAGGCACGGGGAAGGAAAAGAAGGCGCAGGTGGCAGTGCACCCAGCACATTCGCCCTCCACGTCCCCGCTCCCTCCTCCCACTGCCCTTTGCGATTGTCCTCTGCACCACCCTCGGCACAAGAAGCAGCACGCAAAACAGCTCCTCGACTCTCCTTCCCACCTCGATCCCCACTGCCATCACAGCATCCATACACACACACTCCCCCACCCCACCCTCCCTCTAGCCTTCAGTCCAACAAGATCACCACCCCGATACACCACCGCCATCATCGATCAGAAACATCATCGTACCTGTCGGTGTGGGAGTGAGAGAGAGAGGGCGGCGACCAGAGAAGAAGAAAGTGGAGAGAGAGAGAGAGAGAGAGAGAGAGAGAGAGAGAGAGAGAGAGAGAGAGAGAGGGATTTTACTTCTTTGTTCAGTGACATTCCTTCCACCTCCCACACAAAAGGCCAAAGGTTGTCGTCGTGGCAGACTTGAATAGACAAACCGGGAAATATGTTGTTCAAACCAATACGAATTTACTCGAGATCAAACCAGCACCGACCACAGCCTGTTTAGATTGGAGAATGGATGTCAGAAAATGTGATATACGAGGGGTGGCTCGATTCAACTGTTTTCAGCACTTTTTTTGACGGCGCGCGGTCGCCGGTACCTCAAGGCGGGGAGGGACAGAGTCCGTGTGCCTGCGGTGGCGCGCGTATACCAATAGAAATGGCAGGCAACGAGTATGTCAGCATTGGCATAAGTGGTGGCCATGGCAATGGTATTGGTCTTGGAGGGCGCCGATCCCAGTCCTGCACCCGGGTATGTTCTCACCCTCCCTTATCCTGGCTCTCCCCTCTCTCACCTGGGTCTGGGACCAATAACGCTCCCTTCAAATGGACAACAATTCCTGTCTCCTTCCCGATCCATCACGCAGGTGTGGTCTGGATTGACCAGTCTTCAGCGCTTTCTCCTGTTGGCCTGTGCCGCCCTGGCCATTTTGGCCTACATCAGCCATGCCAACGGGACACACCCGAGTGTGCATCAGGTGCGACATTGGGCGCCAACGTCATCCACATGACAAAGCATTTGGCGAGCCCCGCCACCCACTGGCTTCCACAATTTGTAAATTCATCCAATTGGGACCATGTCTCCCACCCATTTTGTCCGTTAGACCCGCCATGTGGCAGACGCTGTCCAAAACCAAGACGAGCTCAACCAGCGGCTCGACAGCCTTGATCAGGTGCGAACCGTGTGGTTGCAAAGACTGGCCTGTTCAGCCATCAAACGCAGATCTACCACGATGTGCTAGACTCACGCATTCGGGACCTCGGCATCTCTGTAGGATCGAGCAGAAGTCGAACAACTGCTGGCGCGTGAGCAACAGGTCTGACTTGGGAACTGCTCCTGACACGCTTTTCTGCAAAGACATGACATGGCTGACGCAGACGAACATGTGTGCAGGCCATCAAAGGTGATGAGGCTTTAAGACAGCAAGTCAAGGCCAATGCCCAGAACGCTGCCGTAATTCATCAAGCACCACCACCAGAGCAGCGAGCCCCAGCCCCAGCCCCAGCCCCAGCCCCAGCTCCAGCCCCAGCTCCAGCTCCAGCTCCAGCTCCAGCTCCAGCTCCAGCTCCAGCTCCAGCTCCAGCCCCAGCCCCAGCCCCAGCTCCAGCCCCAGCCCCAGCCCCAGCCCCAGCTCCAGCTCCAGCTCCAGCTCCAGCTCCAGCTGATGGGAGCAAGCCAACGCCTGTCCTGCCCCGTGGTCCGCAAAACGCTCAACAAGAGGCCATTGTCAATACAATGAAATGGGCTTGGAAAGGCAGGTGGAACATGCAAGAGACGAACCGCAGCCAGCGCAGTTTTGTGTTGTCTTTTTCCACCACCACCACCACCGACACCGACACCGACACGACTACTGACTTCCCTTCCCGACCTTTTTTTAGGTTACCGCGAGCACGCGTGGGGTCACGACGAACTGCTTCCCGTCAGCCAACGCCATTCGGAATGGTTCAAGCTTGGCCTCACCCTCGTGGATGCCCTTGACACCCTTTACATTATGAACCTGCAAAGCGAATTTAAGGTTGGTCGCTTGTCCCTGTTGGACACAAAACGCTCCTCAAATACATTTCCCATCTCCCACCAAATCGCTGCCCCCACCAGTCTCACATGGCTGTCTTTGTCTCGCTCGGCTCTGGCAACCGGCTTTCTATGCGATTGCTTGCTAAACGCAGGAAGCGCGCGATTGGGTTGCCAACAGCCTCAACCTGGATCAAAACATTGATGTAAACCTGTTTGAATGCACAATTCGCGTCCTCGGTGGCCTCATTTCCACACACGCGCTGACGGGAGATCAGATGTTCCTCGACCGGGCCGTACGTGCTTCGTTTACTCCCGCAGTGCAGTGCGGCCCCCCCTTCTTTTTTTTTCGACCGCGGCAAGGCAAACTTGAATCTCCATTCACGCCCAAACCCTTATACGTTGATAGCATGATCTTGGTGACCGATTGTCATACGCCTTCAACGAGCACTCGGGAGTTCCCTTTAGCGACGTCAACTTGGGTACTCACCATGCCCACAAGCCCGCTTGGGGACCAGACAGGTTGGTTGGGCGCCACAGCTGTTGGCCCTCGCCTCGAAAGGTTTACCGCGCGCGCCACTTTTGCAGACGAACAACCCCGCTCCCTCGATACTCATCCTTTGACGCTTTGGCGCCTACAGCTCCACCTCTGAGGTGACCACAATTCAGCTCGAATTCAAGGCCTTATCTCACTTTACCAAGGACCGCAAATACTTTGATCGGGTGCGACATTCTTTGCTTCTTTGTGTTGAGCACATGCCGCCCGTTACTGGCACTCAGAGCTATTGGACCGCATGCGCCGTTGACACTGTCATCTTGCGGCGCAAACAACAAATCATACACCAATTCTTTGCACGGTGGCCTTTGTCGCGCCCTGTCCCGCTGACCACCCTTATTTCCCCATCCTTGATGATAACAGGTGACCAAGGTCATGGATCACGTGCGACAAATCAAGCCTGCCGACGGCCTAGTCCCCATCTTCATTAACGCCAATTCGGGCCGGTACGCAATCCTAGCCAAATATTACGCCACCACGCCGCCCGTGCCTTCCTTATGGTCGCTGTAAAAGTCATGCGCTAACATGAGTGCTTTGAAATCTCAGATTCTCGGGAAATACGGTGACGCTCGGCGCGCGGGGCGATTCGTATTACGAATACCTTCTCAAGCAGTGGCTCCTAACCAATAAGAAGGAAGACGTCTACAAGGTGCGATTATGCTAGGCCAGCGCCAGCCTGCAAGCTTTAACGCGCTTGATCCATCCTGTCTAACCCATGTGGCATCTCATCTATTTGACACCAATGATGACCCATTCTGGTGTGCAGCAAATGTACGAAGAGGTGGTCAAGTCCATCACAGATCAGCTCTTGACACGAACCAAGGATGGTCGTGTCTATGTGGCTGAGCGCCTCAACGGTCGCAAAAGCCCGAAAATGGTATGCTTTGTGCGCTTATCATACACACACATACACCTATTGCTGACACGGAATGCCCTGGCTGCATCCAATATTCGCAGGACCACCTTGTGTGTTTCTACCCGGGCATGTTGGCATTGGGCTACTTGCACGGCATGCCTCGTGAGCATCTCGAGCAAGCCAAGGTATGCTTTTCAAGCCTACATGGGTGTACAGACGTGAGCAGATGGAAGCATCTCTGTGCGTATGCCAAATCTCACATCCGCTCATCCGTCGCATCTTGTAGGAAGTGGCCAAGACATGCTACGACATGTACTCGACACAACCGGCCAAACTGGCGCCTGAGATCGTTCATTTTCATGACGGTAGGCGCCGTGTCTGTCGTCATTGGTAGTGGCTCGTCTCGGGTTGCGAGGCTGGACCACACCATCACGGTATACTCATCTGCCATGCATAGATCAATCCCCGTCCATGTATGTCAAGCCTGCGGATGCGCACAACCTTCTTCGCCCGGAAACGGTCGAGTCACTTTTCATTCTCTGGCGTGTCACCAAGGTTGGCCGCTCAGTCCCCATGCACAGCACATGCCCAGTCGTGGCTCTTTCTGACGTGACTGCGCGATTGAAATAGGACCCAATTTATCGCGAGTGGGGCTGGGAAATCTACAAAGCCTTTGAGGAGCACTGTCGCGTCGAGACCGGTGGCTACTCATCATTGACCAGTGTTCTGACCAGCAAGCCCGCCTTTCGGTAAATAACTCCGTTTCTATTTGAGGGCTTTGGCGCTGGGCACGTGGGTTGCTTCAACTGTACCACCATTCTCTGGCCGGGCTTGACCCATGCTGCATCGGCTGTGGGCTCGCACTTGCCTAGGGATAAAATGGAAAGCTTCTTCTTGGGTGAAACCCTCAAGTATCTGTATCTTCTCTTTGAAGACGATGACAACTTTCTACCTCTAGATCAGGTACAGATGCTTGAATTGGCTTGCGTTGAACACCAACGCCTTTCTCCATTGTTTCCAGTCTCGGCGTGTTTGGCATGCCCATGGTGTCTTTCAGCGCTCACAACTTGCGCTGTCCGACTGCCGCAGTGGGTCATCAACACCGAAGCACACCCGCTACCCATATTCGACCCCCCCTCGTGACTCGAGGGGCCGACAGCAGGGGGCGACGCGCAATCTGCTTGGCTCAAGGAAGGACAGTCTCATGCGTGTTCATCTGACACCTCGTGTGAGGTCGACCAAGCGCCTGACCAGCCACAATCAGACCTGGCCTCCGCTTTGCCGGAGCCAAATGAACAGTCCGTGGTCGGTGCCAGTGCGTCTATTAACACCAATGCGCCTGAGAAGAACACGTAAGAGTTGAGCACCCGCTCCAGTATTTCACCTCTGCTATGCTGGCGGTAGTCTGTCTCCCGAATCGTCTCGTGGTGTTTGTTGCATTTTTAATCTTGTTATTGAGCTGTTGTCGTGGCGGTATTTTGTTTGCTTCTTGTGCTTGTTTGTTTGTTTTCCCTTTTTTGCTTTTCATCATCTCTCGCTCCCCGCTCTCTTCCCCGCCCCGAACACCTTGATCCCCTGTTGTCGGCGAGTGCCCTACCCCTTTTTCTGGATTTAAAGTCTCTCTTTCCAACTTCAATAGACATTCGATCTTACCTTATCCATTCTTGACCTCGCTGGATGGCACCCTGCGTGGACCCCCACACGTTGCCCGCCCCTGCCATTCCATGTGCAACCCTCTCGCTCACCGCACACATCGTCATTCACAACTTAACAAAAAAAAAAAAAAAAAATCGAGCATCGTAGGATTGTTGTCAAGAACACTTGTTGTCAACCTTGCCATGACTTCCTTTTTTTTTTCTTTTTTTTTTCTCTCTCTCTCTCACTCTCTCTCTCTGTGGAACAAAAACGGCAGCGCCGACCAAAGCCATCGGCCGCATCCTGAAGCGACAGTGCAATCAGTTATCAAGATACAGCTGATTCGCGAGATAGCAGTTGCAAGAGAGCCATGGCAACGTCACCGACAGGCGTGGCTGCGCCGGCGGCAAACAGTGGTGAGTGTTGGCACGATGGCAATGAAAGTGACACCTGGGGGAAGCGAAAGCAGCAGCCCATGTTCCGACGGCAGGCCGCGAGATATCCCCGCGCGCCATGGTTGCCTCTGCCAATCCGGGCACCATCACCACCCACGAGCCTCACGTATCAGGTCTTTTATGACCCTGGGCTGACTCTACCCCGGTGCCGAGGGGTGTGCGCAATCAGCTGGGCGCGTGTGAGAATGATGTTCATGGGGTGGTGAAGTGGAGGCAGAAGAAGACCATATCTCTGTGTCTTTGGCATGCTAGCATGTGACTCCGATTCAAGACAGGCCAGGATATCTGACCTGTCAAGTTTGATCTGTTTTCATCTCACTCTCGCCATGGCCCATGCCCTATGTCGAATGCGCGTGGATCGTAGGCTCTGCCATCAAACTTCTGATTCCCGCCAAGTGTGCGGGAGGTGTCATTGGCCGAGGTGGTGAAAACATTTCCAAGCTGCAAGAGGAAACGGGACTGCATGTCAAGCTGTCACAGACTCGCGAGTTTTACCCCGGCACGGCAGAGCGCACTTGTCTCATCCAAGGCGAACCGACGCGCCTGATCGTGGGTGTCAACCGTGTGCTTGACATTATTGTGGCCAACGATGATCATCAAGATGGGACCTCGCTGGCCAACCCCGTGACCGTGGCGGTTCCTTACAATGCCGCCGGCAGTGTTTTGGGCAAGGGTGGAAGCATCCTCAAGGGTATCAAGGACGCCACAGGCTGCAAAATTATCATTTCACAAAAGGTCGGCAACTCATCGCGCGCGAATCCCCAGATGTCTCAAACTTGATCTGCAGCTTGCACTGTGAGTGTCATGGCGGGGCTTGAATCCTGGATGCTCGGTCGGCAGGATGGTCCCGCTGCTCGGTATGGCGAGCGGTTAATCAAAATCGTGTCACCTACACCCCTGGAAGTCCCTCGCGAAGGCGTCAAGCGAGTCATGGACGCGCTTCTGGCTCAAGAAGAAAATCTGCAGTTTCACAATCTTTCCATCAGCTACTCCACCATGGAGCCGCGTTTCGGTGGGCCCCCTCCTGTCCAAAACTATGGGGTGCCTGCCGCCACTTATGAACCCGGACGCGGTCTGCCGCGAACGGCTTACGGCGGCGCAGGGCGCTATGAGCCCCACGCACCCCACGCTGCGCTTCCCGAGACCAACGCCTACTATGGCGGTGCACCGGCGCCCGCCACGTACGGCAGTGGGGGTTATCAGCCTGGCGTAGGTCGAGGCGGGGGCCGCGACAACTTTAGCAACGACAACTTTGCGCCGTCTGGCCGCCGTGCCCATGCCGATCCCAATTTTGGTGGCCCGCCCGCTACCAATGATCCCTACGGTGGTTATCGGGATATGGATCGCCGTTACGATGGCTATGCACCCCCCTCTTCGTATTCATCTTATGACCCGGTAAGATTGGCTATTGGAAGAGCAAGAAAGAGCCGTCAAAGACATCGGTGGCTCGACTGGATGGCATGCTTTTGTTTTTGAGTGATTCTTGTTCCTCTCTTTCTCTCTCTCTCTCTCTCTCTCTCTCTCTCTCTCTCTCTCTCTCTCTCTCTCTCTCTCTCTCTCTCTCTCTCTCTCT